CATATATATATATATAGGCCTATACCTGTCTCTTATACACATCTAGATGTGTATAAGAGACAGCATAATATGTTCTATTTGATTTGTCGGCAGCTTTTGACACCATTGACCAGTCCATTTTATTAAAACGCCTTGAAACATTATTTGGTATCACTGGCAGTGCGTTACATTACACCTTAGCCCACTAGGTAATATAATCAGGAAGCATGATGTTAACTTCATTTCAACTGACAGTAGAGATATCATAGATCCTAATCTTTTTAAACGTGCACACAAGACTTACTTGTTTGCCTAAGCATCTTTTGCTGCTTTTTCCTTTTGTGTTTCTTATTGTTGTAATCTGTTTATTTATTTATTAATTTTTAAAATTTATTTATTAACCAAATCAACAGTAGACACAAATCCGCCACTTACAGAATGTTTACACGTTTATTTGTCTTTGTTGTTTGTGTGACTGCACTATTGTAATACATGCGGTTCCTGAATAATGAATGATTTTATACCTACCATTGTTTTCCTGAATTATTGAGGTTTGGCTTGCGCTTCATAACCGCAAGGGAAAGGCGCAATATAAATACTCGATACCAGTATCGTACCTACCAGTATATTAATCGAATAAATAAATAATAAACAAATAGGCAAATATAAATATATATGTTTATATAACAATATATTGTATAATCGATAGAATGCCACTATATTTATTTATTTATTTATTACAAATTCGACAATAAAGTCAAGAGGGAACCATGGGCCAAGGGCCCAACACAAAGTGGGAACCTTTTAAAACCTCACTGTAGTATAACTGTAATAACAAGCAGTTAAAAAGGACAAAGGAGTGTCTTCAAATACATCGTAGGGCTGTGTCGATTTTGGAGCCTTCAATACCTTGAATGATGCACAAAATGCTCAAATGTAAATTTAATTACGCTAAAAATAAAAACTTTTTAATTTATTCTGCATAAACTCTAAACTTGGCTGGTAATCAGAGTTTTGAAGTGAAAAGTCTGAAAATCAGCGACAACTTTTAATATGTAGGCCCTACATTTACTCCGGCAGGCGCATCACTTCCCATTTCTGGTCCTCTCTATCAGGGACGGATTTAGGGAGGGGGGCGGCCCGGCCCCGGCACCCCCTTTTAGGAGTTAAAAAAAAGGGGAAAATAAGAAAAAAAGAAAGAAAAGGAAAAAAAATGATAGGCCACAACGCCTCAAATGCTATTTTCGGGCGTCTGGAACACAAAAATTTCGCGGGGGCATGCCCCCGGACCCAATGGGACATTGTTGTC